AGCGAACCATCTCTAGGTCCAGGACTAGGGAGCGTCGCTGCCAAAAACTTCAGGCTTAGCTCAGCTCAGGCGTAAGTAACTAATGAATAAGTTAACCCAATAAATTACTACAGAGTGAAAATAATTTTCCTAAGACACTTTTCAAAGGAATTGAAAAGGGCAGACGAAATATTTTGACACATAATCATAAGGGAAAAGAAGAAACTTTCAATGAAAATGAATTCAAATCAATGAGGCAGGGAAAGAAGAGGGAATCTTAAAGGTCCAACAGTCCTACTGTAAGCGCACAGGAGGTGTGCTAGTATATTCTCCAAGGTATCAGAAAAACAGGGATGAAAGGTATGATTTACATAATGGCTTTCAACAGCAATTTGATTTTGACTGCAACCCAGAACAATAAATACTTTTTATAAAGTGACCCAGTATGTATATCCCAGTTTTGTATGTGTATAACACACAACTTTTAATGAAATAGTATTTATCCTGATGTACTCTGATCTTTTCTCTTTTTAAAATGTTGGTTAGGACCCACAAAATTGATCTTACAACCAATAGGTTGCAACTGGTTGATCCATTTTGAAAATCTGGTCTACACAGACTCACCAATTCCTAGCACCTCATAAGAATGTGCTATTCTGGTTACTTTCTTTTTAAAAAAAATATATTTTATTGATTTTTTACAGAGAGGAAGGGAAAGGGATAGAGAGTCAGAAACATCGATGAGAGAGAAACATCGATCAGCTGCCTTCTGCACACCCCCCACTGGGGATGTGCCCGCAACCAAGGTACATGCCCTTGACCAGAATCGAACCTGGGACACTTCAGTCTGAAGGCCGACGCTCTATCCACTGAGCCAAACTGGTTATGGCTATTCTGGTTACTTTCTTAATCCATCTCTGTCTAGCTAAAGTTACAGTGCCAGGTTTTCCTGACAAACTGTCTCAAGTCAATTTAGTAGACACTGGAATGAACACCTTGAACTGTGCTAGCTAGGATCCGAATTATCTGTTTGAAATGTGCAGAGCTCCCATTAGATAAGAGTGCAACTAAAACCACATTAAATAGGCAGAAGATCCCCCAAATTATTTCACTGGAAAACTAAAGTTTTGATGATTAAACACTGTGCATGCACAAATCCCCATACTTCTACACTTAGCTAAGTGATCTTTCTAGTATATACCAAGTTGAAAGAAATTCCAAGTACCAAATAATCCCTTATCATTTCATATTGCTGATCAAATAAAGCTAAAGAGTGCAATTAACATTCTAAAACTACTAGTCAACAAACCATAGCATTCTTACATGCCTATAAAAAGCTCCAGACTCAATATTTAATACTTGAAAATTCTGATTTATTTTTGCTTACTTTCCAAGTAACTCTAACTAAATCATGGCTTAAACTATTAATTATATAGTGATCAACCTTTTAAAAAGGTCTTGTTTTGAGAACATCTTTTCCAAACTTCTGAAAACAAGCCTATTTCAGCTGTAAATGCAGTCTGATACTCACTACCACTTCTCCCCAAAACAACAAAGTCAACAACTTATAAATTGAATCTGATAAAATTCTGTGTTAAAATGCTTACCATTTGGAAAATGATAAGCATTTTATCATAATGATAAAGTGGACACTCAATACAAGAAAGGTTATTTATTTACTATGTTACTTAATGAATATTTTCTATTAAAGAAAGGATTTTTTTCACTTCTTTCAGCTACAAAATCTAACATTACATGACTTGGGTATATGTTTTTACATTTGAATGCAAATATCTGGTGAGAAAAATTCAATCCTTGGGAAAAAATAATTCCACAACTCAGAAAATGGCAGAAAGCAATACCGTTTTCCATTTTTTTCCGTTAACTCCTTTTTTTTTTTTAATCCTCACTGGAGGATATGTTTTATTGATTCTTTTGAGAGAGAGAGGAAGAGAGAGAGAAACATTGATGTGAGAGAAACATCCATTGGTTGCCTTATGTGCCCAACCAGGGATCGAACCCACAACTTAGGTATGTACCCTGATCAGCAATTGAACTCACAACCTTTTGGTGCACAGGAGGAGGCTCCAACCAACTGAGCAACCTAGCCAGAGCAGAAGTAACTCCTTTTTTAAAAATAAGGTCGTAACAACTGAAGAGATAAGTATCAATTTGAAGAAAAGAGAACTAAAATTCATTCATTTGTGAGATGCTAGATTATAAACCTATTACACCGATCAAGCCACCAGTTTAGAATAGATAATGACAAGATATGGCTCAGTTGGTTGAATGTCATCCAAGAGGTTGCTGGTTCGATTCCCAGTCAGAGCACATGCCCGGGTTGGAGGCCCGATCCCCGGGACAGGGAAGGCAGGAGGCAGCCAATCGAGGACTCTCTCTCATCGATGTTTCTATCTCTCTCTCTCCCTCTCTTTTCCTCTCACTACAAAATCAATGGAAACAATACAAACAAAAAAAGAGAAATAAGTAGTTATAGCTTTGAAATTTAGTAAGGAATAATAATTAGTTTTCCAGAAAAATGTTCTATAAAGATGTGGCATTATTTTCCAATTTTATAAATACCAGACCAAAAGGCAGAAGTAGCTAGAGAGTCAAAGAAGAAGAAAAAATCAACTAGAAGATAGTCTAGGCCAATTACCAACAATAGCATTATTTTTTAAATATAAAATATCATTAGAAATGATCAGAAATCGCTTTTAATTACATATATATTATGAGCTTGACAAGTTTTCTAAAATATATTGATATCATTTCTACTTTTTATTATTATAATCCAGCTGTTCTTCCCTATCCACTTTACGACGGGAATCTATTCTATACTAATAGAGAACTATGCAAATTATGTTACAGCGTCACGTCATGAGATCAGCAGGCTGCGTCCCCGCCCTCTGCTCAGGCAGCTGCAAAGCCCGGGGTAGGATAGGATACGATAGGAGGGGATAAGAAAGGAGAGGGAGAGGAAGGCAGGCCTGCATGTAGACAGGCCAAGAGGAGAAAGAGAAATACAGAAAGGGAACAAGAAAAAGATGCAGGAATGGAAAAGGGAAATGCGGGGCTGCACGCAGGAAGGGGTGGTGACCGCAGCAGGAGCAGGTGTGCCCGGTGAGGGGTGGGGCAGGAGCACTGCCCAGACACGGGAGGTTTGTCGTGGCCCCCGGTGAGGGCCGTTGGTGGGTAGGTGCCCATGGGTCTGGGACGGTCTGAGGCCTTCTGGGCGGAGACGCTCCTGCTTCGCAGCAGCAGCAGCAGTGCCCGGGCTGCCTGGGTCTCTGCCACCCTTGCTGGGCTGGGCGTCCCGGGCAGGGAATGGGAGGACGGTGGTGGGGAGGCCAGGGAAGGAGGGGTGGCGAACAGCTGGCCGGAGCTGAACCCTGGGCTGGGGGTTAACGCCCCCCCCCCAACCCCCTCACAGAAGCTTTAAGAAGGGAAGGAGGGAGGGAAGAACTTTATAAAGGAGTCTGTAGAGAGCAGAGTTACAGAAGGAAAGAGGATGTATGAGTGAACTGTAGGAGCTATAATGAAAATCAAGTATAGTTGTGTACTGGACACAGATTTTAAAAGTAGGAGTCAGAAAAGAAAAAAGATAAATGATAGTGAATAATTAGGCAGGTAGATAGATATTAAAACAGTGGAAGTAAGTAGAGAAGAATGTATGGCAAAGGTAGGATGAGAGAGAAAGAGGGAGGGAAGAAAAGTTTTAAAGGGGAGCCGGTAGAGCTTAAAAAGAGAATGGGAAGAAGGAAGAAATGGGGGAGGGAGCAAAGCAGGTCCGGGGAGGAAGTGAAGGAAAAAATTAAGGTGGGAAGGAAGGAAAAGGGGAGGGAGGACAGGGGTAAAGATAAAGGAAAGAAGGAATGTGGAGAGGGAGGGAGGGAGGGTAGGAGAAAGATGGGAAGAAAGATGATGGAACAGCAGTAGTAAATAAGGAGGAAAGAAAAGTTTATAAATGATGATTCAGTAGGAAAAAGTGTTACATAAAGGAGAGAGCAAAATTGTGTTAGAGGGAGAAGCCAATAAGGAAGTCAAATACAATTGTGTGTAAAGGGGATAAGATTTTTAAAAAAAGTTAATAGGGTCAACCAGGCCGGCAGGGGAGGGCAGTTAGGGGGATCAGGCCAGCAGGGGAGGGTAGTTACGGGAATCAGGCAGGCAGGCAGAGTGGTTAGGGCAGGCAGGCAAGTGAGCAGTTAGGAGCCAGAGGTCCCAGATTGCGAGAGGGCTCTCGGATTGGAGAGGGTACAGGTTGGGCTGAGAGACGCCCCTCTCCCCATGCATGAATTTCGTGCACCGGGCCTCTAGTCAATTTATAATATGAAACTTCTTTATACACCTAGTTTCTAAAAACCACAACATAAATATTGAGCAAGATACAGGGTGGGGCAAAAGTAGGTTTACAGTGGTCTGAATGGAAAATACTACAAATAAATAATAATACAAAAATAAACTGTTTCCCGTACTCACAACTGTACACCTACTTTTGTCCCACCCTATATATGCTGTTCTTTGTCCTGGTAAAAGGAAATACTGTACTAGCACCTTCCCAAGAATCAGAACTGCTATGATAGCTTTCATTAACTGATAGTTATTTTCATACTTATGTCTCAAGAAAAGAGCAAACAATTAGCAAACCATTATTCCTTTTAACAAGCAATCTCAACATAAAGTTTTACTCTAAAAAATTATGAAAAACTAAGCAGAGCAAACAGGTCTTGTTTAGCTGGAAATATTTTTAAGTGAATAATTCAATGAAGAAAACTGAGGCAGGGAAGTATCCAATTAATAAAGGTCAAAAGTTCCAAGGCAGTATTGAATACAAATACTGAAGCACGATTTTGAAGCTGCAACTTCTAGTTATCTAAGAGATTTCATTTCGAAAGAATTTATCAGAAAAAATTACTGACATTGATTACCATGTGCATTTACAGTACATTTCAAAATTTCACCCCCTTTGTGGATTTTTAAACAAACAGCATTAAAATCTTAAGAAGCAGATACCAAACTTTTAAAAGTTTTTCACAACAAATTTATTAGAAGAATAGTGGTTTTGAAAAGTCTAGCATCCAGTGAGAACTACCATACACAACATTACAGCTGGGAATGTTTCTCCAAAATGTCATGGTCAAATAATACAATGGAACCATTAAATCTTACACATGCACGAAAGAACTAGCGCTTTTGACATACAATGCAAAAAAAAGGGGATCACATGGATTAAAGTTTTAAGTACTCATCACATACATTAAGACACAGCTTATTTTAGTCCAGTCAAAAATCAGAACTGCATTAAAAAATTTAATGTAGTGCAATCAAACCAAAAAACTTAATTTGTGATCATAAGTGCTCAACTACATAAACATTGATCATAGCAAGGAACAAAAAGTTCAAATCACACAGTACAAAAAAATCTGTAAATAAATATAAACTACAGTACAAGAGAAATATTAAATTATACAATTCCGTCAAACTGTAAACAGTATATTGAAATGAGGTCCATAAGAGTAAAGGGGGTTCCTGTTTTGTTGAGTGACACTTGGAACTTCTAGAAATTTGAAAGATGCCATTTTCCTTATCTTCAAGGCTGTGGGTTTTGTATGTGGAGAATTCCTTTTAGATGTAAAATATCAAATATTAAAGCAGAGGAATAATCTATTTTGTTAACCACAGATAGTGCTGTAGAAAACAAAAGGAATATTAATGAATAAAGACCTCTGGTAGACAAGTCTTAACATTAAAGATGCAAAGGGCTAAAACTCTGGAATTAGAACTTCACATCAGAAGAAACTTGTCAATGAGGACTTCAAGGCTGCAAAATATATTGATAAAATCGTCTGCCAATAGGCAGACCCAGACCTCTGCTAATTTTTTGACATTTACATACTCATGTTACAACACCAACTTTGGCAGAATCACTACTAATAAACTCAAAGCACTCCTGGCCCAATGGTTCCATCACAGTGGCCAGTGCACAAAATTCTCTAAAGACATTGCATAAACTAGAATGTAGAGGTCAGACACCCAAGGACCAGTGCTTGAATTTAGTAGTAGTATGGTGAAGAACGAAGAGCCACATCAAGAAGGAACTGCATCTGTTATAGTTTCAGAAGCAGCAAGGAATGTTGTTTAATTGTGCTGGTTATTTAGTAGCATTTAAAAATATATAGTTTAACTATGTGTGTGTTCCATGTGCTGGCTATAGATTTTTGCACATTTTGTTTTGTCTTTTAAATACACTGTTAACAGGAACCCCCATATTATCTGCTCAGTAGTAATAACTGAATATATAGAATGCCACTATAAGAGTGTGAGGCACCGTGTGCTGGAGTTATATGCAGCTTTAAAATGTTTGGCTGAGTTATACCTGGATACCTGAACTGAGTTTTTAAGTTGACATTCATCAAGGATGTGCTACCAGCACGTCGAAATAAAAGTAAAACAGAAAAATACAAGTCACTGTTAGGTTTAAGAATAGCATCAAAGTACCTGAATTGAGTGAGAATAGTGTGTAAACTGTCCCTGAGGGTTTTTAAACAGTGTGTACAAGTTGGATTCCTAAGAACATTAGTTTTAATCAACAGTGTGGACTGATAAAATACCAATGTCTGACAGTTTAAAGTGGAGGTTATAAAGAATTATATGCAAATACTCCAAATGTATAGTTTATACATTTCTTCCCGAAGCAGCAGTAAGCTGCTGTCTGTATACATCCCATCAGAACAAGCAACATGTGGGCGTCAGATAAAGGTTTCTACCTCAGTCTGATTTTCTGACAGCACAGCATATCAATACCCAATGACTATATCTTTCCTAGATCAGAATGTAACTAATTTCGACTAGCAAGATAGGATTAGACTTTTAATCAAACACTTTGCTATTACATACTAGAATTCCTTAAACTTACTAATGCTGGTATACTAACCTAGTTAATCACCCACCCCCCATTTTAGAAATATACCCTTCCACAACTTAAAAACATTAAGATCCATTTTCAGTCCTCTGATGTAAAAAGCATGTCAGTGAATTAATATTAAAAATTTACACAGTAAAAAGGCTTGAATTTCAGCCAAAGATTCTAAATACTGCTCATTCCCTGAAGACTTAAAGGGAGAGAGAATCCCTACCCATTTTCCTAGTGATTTATTTTTCTAAAATGGTCTGACACAATTTTTCATATTGGGGAATTTTCCCCTCACCTCCTCTCAAATTCCAAATTCTTAAGCCTGAAATGCTTAATAAAATGGGGAAAATGAGGCAATCACTTGAATTACTTGACAGGTACAAAATGTTATTGTCTTTTTTTAATAAGACAAGATATATAGAAATGTGATTTGACCCCATATTATATAATATGTTTTACATTTGTAAGTAATCACCCTAAAACTTACAGTACCTAAGACTGAAGATAAATTAAGACTTTAGTGTTGTAACTGAAAAAGTGCTAAATTATCCCTTTTCTAGTATTTTAAACATTTCAAACAAGTGCTTTCCTAGTGACAGTAAAGTTTACTATATACGCTTCCACCAAGCAGAAAAAAAAATGTCACCTGAATGAAAGAAAGTATTTTTAGGAGTGTAGCACCGGTTATTTACTGAGTAATAGATAATGTTTCACTCATTCTGAGGGGGTAAAAATATTCTAGATTGAAATTCTATTTGGCTATTGAATGTTAAAAATCCCTGCTCTTACTGAGTCAGTGTCCTGTGTCCAACCCCTATCCCTGCCCCCCTCCCCGAGTCCCCTTACACACTATCCACTGAGAAGCTAATCTCTAAAGAGATTATTTTAAAATTTATGTTTTCAGGACATACCTGAGAAAGGGTGCAATTATGCAGAACGAGGAACCCAAGACTGTACTAATACTGGTTATAAGTTCATAAATTCTTTCCCAAGACAAGTCTATAGTCTAAGAGGTATGGATCTTCAAATATGTCTTAACTGCTTTAGATTTTTTTGGTATGTGTGTAGGGTCATTTCCAGTGTTAAAAAGATCATCTTGGCCTGTTCAATGACAGTTCAAGATAGGATAAAGAGTTCATTTCCATATTCAAACAATAAAGGTTAAATATTATAATTATAGTATTTGCTTTATCCAATAAATCTATGATTAACTAAAAGTGCTTGCTTTACGGCTTTTGATACAGATCTAAATGAACTGGAAACTTTAAAATTATACCCCTCCCCCAACAGTTGCAGAATTAATGTTATGGTTTGTCAAATCAACATTAGCCTTCATTCTCATTTTCAAACAATCTAAAAGATTTTTCTGACTATCAAATGAAGATGGCCCAACTTCACCACATTATCTATCCTGTGACTCATTTTTAGTATTGTAGGACAGAATCTTTAGCCTTTTCTCAAGTCTACATACTTTCCCATCCTACTTTCTTTTTAATCTTTCCCCCAATCTCCTTCATAACACTGAGGGCACACAGCTACAGGGCTGATATCTGCTATTTAAAAGGCAACTGAGACTTTATCTGGGAGTAAGAGACAGAGGATATGCAAAGAATTTCCTATTTTCTCTTCAGTCACCCCATTAACAAATCCTACTCAAGTCTCAGGGGCAGAATAATCCAAACAACAAACAAACAAACAAAAAATCTAAGATGACTTTGGAGGCCTGCATTCCTTGTACCACAATTATAAATTTTTCCATTTCAGTAGAGTTTCAAAGCAATTACATTAAAAAATAAAAATCCTTATACAGCTTAATAGTCTCCTAAATGGGCTATTTGGCTGAAGCCATTAAGTTTTTAATAACACTGGCCTGACTGTAGTATTAATGAAGACCTAATTATAATGGAATAATAACAAGGAAAATTATCTTTGATAGCTTCATGAAGGTCAAAATTTAACCTATAACTTTCAATGTCTCCTATAAAAGATTAAGTGGAACAATTCAGTCTATTGCCATATTCTATTACCAATGACAGCAACCTGAATATATAGAAAAGGGTGGTTCATATGAAAACCATCTCTGGAGTTTAAAAAAATAATAATTACAAAAGCAAAAATATGTGGTTTCAAATTTAAATCTACGGGGATAATACCTGTTAAAGAAAATGATATTGAACTGTCATATATCTACTATAATGAAAAATAATTTCAGGTTCTGACACTGGGTGACTCATTGTTTTATAAAAATAACTGAATCCAAGCTTCACTATTATGGGACAATGAAATGTAAGAGAATCACAAAGTCTTAGAACCAGGCCTTGCACCATGTGCTTACTTGGGATAGGGGGGGAACACAGCTCACTAGCAGCTCCAGGGTTGCTATGTACTGCCTAATGAGAGAAGGTAGTTATGTATGATACGGGCCTTTGCAGGCAGTCATTTTTCATCTAATTTAGAGTTCTCTCCAGAAAACTGGGAACTAAATTTCTCATTGTGCCTTATTTGTTTTACTATCTGATCCCATATAGCTCATCTTATAGCTCAGGTAAAATGTTGAAGAATGGAAATGCCAATTGGTTGAGGTAATGGTTTATATAAGATAACCAGAGTTCTAAAAGCACTTCAATATTGTAAAGTAAAAGTGTACCAAATAAAGCTAACACACACTTCACACTTGTTAATAAGCTTGCTCACCAGAACTGAACAGTAATTAACTTCACATAAGGACCCCTATTATTACACAAAGCCTTACTCATATTCATGATCTGCTGTAGTAAAGGTTTATCAAGCAACATCTAAACTTCAGAATAACAACAAACTTAATATTAAAAAGTATTATACACAAATATAAATTATTCTTCCTGAAAGAGACTTTGTCCTTCATGGTTCTTGGGGGACAGAAATAAATGTATAGCTCATCACAAACGGTTCAGAGTCACTTATAAGCTACTGAACAAAGTATTACACTACTTTACTGTCAAGTTTGATGACTGTCTCAGAAATGAGAAAACTAATGATAAAAATACCAACTAGATAGCCTTCCACAGAATTAGTGTTTTTTATTTATAGCATGATAGCTTATCTACTCTATGTGAATGCTCTCTCATAAAAAATGCAAGAACTGATCTTAAATACATTATCTCCTAACATTAGTCTGAATACTATCATATAGTAATGTCATCATCTGCTACTGGAAAATGCAAGGAGAAAAGGCTTTTGTGACACAGACAGTTGTGAACTACACTTTCCCATACCATAAAAATGGTCAACTGTTGTTTGAACCATGCAAAACTCTGATGAGCAGAAATTAAGCATGCGAATAGACCAATTTCTTTTACACCTTTATGAGGACGTCCCCAAACTATAATATCTACACTGAAAGTGCCAAATCAAGAGAGAAATCAAATATTAAGGGATCACTGCGGCACCAAGACTGACAGCCAGCCATCATGTGATGAGCCACCTTCAAGAAATACATGGTATAATGGAACTCTGAACACAAAAGTTAACATTAAAAGTGCACCTGAATATTACAAACTAACTTTACAAAACCTACAATAAGGTAAAATATATATTTTTTGAAATATTCAGCAGCTTTCTGTATTTTTTTTAAGTTTTTTTTTTTTTTGAGAGGCTCATGAAATTTAAAAGGGACCACTATCTAATTTCAACCATGCTTCACAAAACAATAATGGCTATTTTATATTGCAGTTACCAATGTAATGCAATTAGTGCTTTAAAATAATCTACGAAAAAGAAAGAGAGACCGACCGACCTTTGGAGGAAATATACTTATTCAAAAGCTTCTTGGAAAAGAAAATTTACCTGAATATCAAGTCATGACTGATCTCAAGTGTAATGTTTAAAAGCTTCACAGACATGAATATTACAATCTTCAGGTCTCAGGACTTTTAATCTGAGAAAGTTTAGAGTTTGGTTTGTTTTTAAAATTCACTTTCTAACCAAAACAAATAATAGAAAAACTCAAATTTTCACTATTTACAACTCTCAGCCTACAATCTGAAATGACATAATACAAGTTCTCTTATTTAAACTGCAGCATTAAAGGGTAGGCACACCATTCTTCTGCTGCTCGATTGTCATCCACTGAAACACACATAGAAAATATTTATGTTAGTAAAATGATCACTCCATGTACACTACTGTGACAAATTTTACATAACTCAACTCATACATCACTTTATAGACTACCACATAGGATAAAACCTCTCTGAACAGTAAAACTCTACAAAAGTTGAACTTTTACGGCCAAATTTTTAAATGGGCCACTTTCTGAGAGAGGATAAAAGCAAGCACAAATTAATTGCTCAAAGTACCTTTTTGCAGCAATCATGGGCTACTGAATACCCCAAACATCATGCAAAAAGGTACCACGGCTACAATTAATTGTGTGCGACAAATTATTGAGTGTGGAACAAAGGAGGCTTTCCTTCATAAGCTTAGCCCTTTGCTTCCTTCAACTGCAGATGAAAACCATGTTTCAGAGTATTTTTATTGCAACTTCCAGCTAGGCTAGAAAATACTGCAGTCATATACACTGCTCTTTCTGTTGAGAAGACTAGAAAGCTAAGAGGAAACAGGCTTAGTCATCCACTGAATAAATAACCAAACCGAAAGAGGAACCCAAGCCCAGGCTATGTAGTATGAGCAGTGCATGTATTTTAAAAACAGCAATGGTGTGCCTAACCTTTGAACACATAGGTTGCTGAGGGAAAACTATCCTTAACTTAATAAACTGCTCTGATGTTTCTAGGCAAGAATTTATGCCTTGGGAATATCTGGACCTACTTCTCCTCAAACTGTTAGTATCCACCTGAAATCATCAGCCTCAATTTTAATGCTCTAAGTTTGATTTTATATAAAAACTTCAATGACTTTTTAAATTTTTGGTTAAGCGTTTAGAAGAGCCGGACCACCTTTCTCAGCAGATTAGAATAAAGGGTGAATGTGGTATGATTTTGTTTTGCACAAACAGTAATTTCAATTTGGTCACGATGCAAAATTAAATTTCATGGGCATTATCAGGTATTCTTGCAAAAAAAAAAATGTGGAAAATAAACGTCCCCAACTTAATTAGTGTAATTTAAAAAGCCCATCTCAGAAAAAAAGGACCTGTAACACTTTCAATAATAAAGATAAATTATTTTTTAAAAGTCCATCTAAAAAAAAGCAAAAAGCTTAGATGTTCTTCAAGGAGTGCTTGTTCAAACATGATCTGAAAGGTCTTGAACTGTGTGCTAAACAACCATAAAAATAAGCAAATACCAGAAAAAGTTAAAAAGGGGATATTGTGGATGCCAAATAAAGAAAAAAAGATTTAAAGCAATGAATTAACTAAAAACACCCGCCCCCTTGTACTAGTATTTGCATTAGTTAAAAAAGAAACTCTTAATGAGCTTGATTTCTGATTGAATTATTATTAGAATTGAAATGCAACCTAAATCATAATAGATTGCCTTGGGGCTGTGTTTTTTCTCTCACCACAAATATGGATCCTTCATTCATGTGGATATTTGGGCGGACTACTGAGGCTGTAAAATCTAGATACCATTTTACAATATTATAATTACTTATACACATTTCTTTTCCTATTTCTCCCATTCCCCAATAAACAGATCTTGATTATTTTAAACTAGTTGCTGCAAGGACATTCAGTCTTTTGTTAGCATGTGATCAAATTTATAAAAGGAATTAAGAATACAAAAAAACTGAGTTTGCTAAAATGAGGCATCCTCTATTGTTATGTAATGTACCCTGACTGCTCCTGAGTAAGAACGGAGCTCGTCCTCCATGAGATAAGGCTATATCCTCACTTGTTGGTGAGACCAAATTCTACCCTTAGAAAATCCCAAATGAAATCACAGCAAAGGTAGTGTTACAAAGTAATTAACCGAAGCATTTCTGAAGGTAGTGTGTGCACCTTTTCCACCTTCTTCCCCTCTGGGTGAGCACTAAACAGACTGCTAATTTGTTATGTAAATTTAACAGTGAGAATAAAATCATAACATGTAAAATTGACCCAAATAATTATTTATCATGGAATAAACAAATTTCTTAAATTCAAAGGTTCATGTTCTTAAGAGATTTTTCTTTAGTTTAATCCTTCAATTAGTTGAATCGTAGAAGAAAAAATGTGAATAATTTTATAAGATGGCTTCCAATTTTCAGTGATAAAGCTCCCCGTATACAGAGGTGGTTTCTAAAAGAGGGGCTTTTTATCGTTTTTAAATAAAGGCAAATATAACTTAAAAGAAAGAATAAAAAGCATGCAGGCTCTACAGGCAAGGAGTCCGCTTCCATGTATCTGTTCTCTGTGAGGTAACTCAATTCTCTTGTAGAGAAACATGCAAAAGGCCAAACAATATCCCGAGCCATACTGCACATGAAAAATTTTAAATATGCAACATTCAGAAAGCACCTTTCACCTCTGTACACACAAGTTAATGCAAAATCTGCAGAGAAACAAGCGTCACAGTAAATGAAGTTAGGTGCAAGCAATGACAGCAGTAGTGCTCACCCAGTTTGTACAGTAATTGGCACTCTACAGTATTCCTACTCATTTTTTGATTCATTTGCACTTTGTGCTGCCTCTCCCTGGGGATCTAATTCAATCTTTACGGAAACATCTGGCCCCTCCGACCTCATTAATTTCATCTTTTTCTTTGGAGGGTTTTTCAAAGTGCCCAGCCTCTCCTTTACTTTGTACTCCAGTGTACTGTGGGGAATCCCATAAATACTCTGAGCTTTGGAAACACTCATTTTTCCACTCATAACCACTGAGATTGCTTCCTCCAGTATCTCACTGTTGTACTGTCTGTAACGCCCTCTTTTCTTCCGAGGCTGCTTGGAGCCAGGGTCTCCTTCTTGATCCGATGTGGGATATGGCTGTCCAGAGGTAGACTGCTCAGCATCTGAGCCCCAAGAATCGGGTCCAGCATCTAACATGCTTTTTCTATTTTGTTTTGGAAGAATAGCCCTCAATTTTTTACTAAGCGCGCTCTCCGTTTGTGAACCCATTACCAAAGAGCTATAGCTGTACTGATCACCAGTGCGAGATTCCCAAGAAAGATCCATTCCTCGAACTTGTGGTATCTTTAAATCTACAGGAGATGAATGGCTCACATCCTTTTTTCCATCTTGTTTTGCTTGAAGTGCCACTTTTGGAAAGGCAGAGTTTTCTGCAAGAAAAGGAAGGTCACTGATGTTGCTGAGTGCACCATTTCCCCTGAACTTCATACGGCTGAGGTTGAACTCATAATGTGGTTTTGCCCAAGAGGCTTCCCTGGATAATATTAAGTGCTGTCCATGATTCTGTAATCCAGATGGCCCAAGGCTGGCAGCTGTGGACAATTGGTTTCTGCTCAGTAGTTCTTCACTAATCTGCAGGGATCGAGCCAATGGAACTTTGAGTGATGTGGAGTGTCCAAAACCTTCCCTGGTTCCATCCTGTAAGCTTCTTGGAGGTACCCCATCACCACTCCGAAGTCCGTCTGGGCGGTACTGGCTGGGTCTCCCAGGTCGCCTAATTGGATGGAAGGAAACTGATGTGAGCAGGACTTGCACAGGTAGGGAGGGATGGGTGAGGGGACCACTCCTTTATTAGAAGGCCTTGCTTGGGTAACATCACTTTGTGTTATTTATTTATTTTTCTCTAAAATTAAAAAAAAATGGTCTCAGCAGTTAGTTTTAAAACGTGTTCACAAAAAAAGAAAAAGGAAAAAAGAAAAAAAAAAAACAGGAGCTTTTTGGGCAAAGAAAAATTAAACCTGTCAGCTGGTCTCTGGTTGGGTTCACAAATTTTCGGAGAAAAAGTTTCGCGCAACTGTCTGAAAATAGCACCTTAATTATTATTTACAAAGTAATCATCAAGTCTCCATAGATCTACACAGAATTGTGTTATCAATGTGACGTTACCACTAAACAAGTACAATAATAAAAGAGTAAGCCAAATTATTTATTTTAATGTAACATTTTCAACATTCATAACAACCAGTCATAAAACTGGAACCATTTACATTGGTGAAACCCATAGATAATTGTTCATTTATCCCACAAACAAGTTGATGTTCACTATAAAAATCAAACAACTCCAAATGACATTTCTTATTTGTTTGGGAAAAAAAAAATATGGCTACCAGCCCCAAGAAGGAAAAGTACCCCAAACCAAAATACCCATCGCATTATAACTTACCACACTTCTTCATTTTAAAACACTATTAGTTGCAGATACATGAGTACCACTGATTCTCCATTTGAAATAACCCAAGCTTTAAAGAAACTATATTTTATTTCCCCCAAAACTTTGTTCCTTAAGTTCTAGTCAAATAATTTTCACAGGTATATAAGCAATTTTGTAGTCTTCTTTATAAAAAAAACCTCTCTTCTTAAAATACCAAACATCAATTTTGAAATTTTAAGTAAACAGCTTTTGAATAATATTTAAAAAGTCAATTACTTACACAAAGTTAATTCTTAAGGTTTTCTATTTCACAATAGAGAAAGATTACCATTGATAAAACTGGCAACTGGTAAAGCATGCCCAAGGGGAATTATATTACACAGGCACCAAAGTGGAACTTTGCAGAAATAATGATAAACTAGCTTTGTTCTCCAAAAGTCTACAAGGACTCTGTGCTATTATCAGTAAATAACAATAAGATAACAATGAATATTCAACTAAAAGATGGGCAGTACTGTCAGTGCTTTTGTCTTCCAGAAAACAATACCACAAAGAAAACTCTTTCCATTTACAAGGATAAACACAGCAAGTTCAACCATATAATAATACATGAACCTGATGGCCAAGCTTAAAGTGAATCATAAGCAAGGAATTCATTTATACAAATCGCACTTAGGCTTCTACTTGTGTTCTGAATTACACAACTCAAATTTTTTGATATATAAATGGAATCCAATGATTTGGGACCATGATAGCATCTACCTAGTACATATAAACTACCGTGAAAAGAAGAGCTTAAAGGAAAAGATTAGTAAACTATGCAAAATAGATTAAATGAATGTTATTTTTAGACTGAATATAAAGAAGGAGAGAAAAAGGAAAATTATGGAATTTTAGAGAAAATAAAGGGCACATTTTAGCAATCAGTAAAGAAATCCTTCAATTTGAAGGTAATTAAGTATAAATTGAAACGGTTAGTACATTTAGTGTCTACTTATTCCTATACCATCTAAACAATGCCCCATGTTTGATGATCGAAAAGTTAAATAAATATAAGTATTAACTAATTTAACTTACTCAAGTTATTTTTCATATCTAGATGAAGTTGATTTTTGGTCACAACAAAGTTTTATGGAAATTTCTTCCCAATATGGCATCTATATATCTTTATTAATACCTCATTTTTCTCTAAATGGTTAATATATACACATAGAAGGAGACTTAGACAATCTTACTGTAAAATTAGGAGGTCAGAAAATTCACTTGAACCTGCTAAAGAGTTACCAAAACTATGCATGTAATAATGTCTTGACAGCATAAGATAGTTATTTGTCAATATTTACAACCAGTCTTTATCTACTTTAAAACAAAAAATACAATCAGATTTTCTGAACTGCCACACAGTTAAAATTGCAGTTCAAATCAACAAAACAAACAGCCGACACACACCCACACACTACATTAAAGATACCAAGTTAATTACTAGAGCCCAATTTTTATTCAACAACTTCAGCACACATAATACAGTACTGCCTTTACATCTGAACTCTGAAATTATTTAGGTTGGGGTTCACACTACCAAATACTCAACAACAAAAAGTCCAAAGACATTCTTGCCATGCTTCTGATTATACACTATTTGTACTAAACTGGCACATTTGATTTATTCCAGCCAATTCTAGATCAGAGACTGTGCTTTTACTTGCTTGGTATACTAAAAGTAATTTTACTAAAGGTATTCCTAGAAGAGTATTACTTTGAAGAATTAATTTTTAAAACATACAAAAGAAACTGGCATCAATCTTTGATAAACTGTCCCCTATAAAACTGTGGAAGGCTACAAATATTTTCCCTTACCCGTTCCCTGGAGTACTGGAGCAGCCTGGAGAATGGCTCAGGGAAGTGCTGCCAGCACACGGACTTTTCTTAGTGGATAGATCAAGTACACCGTCTGTAGAGACACAAAGAAACACCTGAGGATATTAAAAACTAGGAGCAAATGTGATCTGAACAGGCCAAAGATGACAAAGCAGTGGGCTTAGTCAACTAGCAGATACACTAATCATATATTTGAGCTATAAAGTCAATTCATTAATAGAGTCAGGATATTTTTCCTCCTGAAGCAACATAAATTTAGCAAAGCTTGTTATATCTAATATCTAGAAGTGTAAAATATTTTACTATAGGGCAAAATAAAAGGTAAAGCATATCACTATAGATGTTAAGATACAGTGAGATATTAGAAATAGTTTATATAGTTTGAGGTTCAGCCATACAACTATTAGACTTCATTTTCTAAATAATCTTACCAAAGCACTAAAAGTACATAAAAGTTTAAGTAATAAGTAATGCAAAAGTCATTTTAAAATATAAGTTTACATGGTTAAATTACACATATACATTCTATAAGATGAATCAGTTGTTAGCTGTTTATACAATGTGCATATATTGTAATTACGCTTTGGACACCTCTGTAAAAAACTGTACATTTGTCAATCTTTTGAAAAATATCTGCAGAGGTTCAAAATTCACAAGCTGATATTTATAAAGGCAAAGGGTTGTTTTTTGTTGTTGTTAATAAGCTATTATAAATTGATGGGCAAAGTTTAAGGGAAGAAAGAAGAAAAAAATAGTCTTAATAATGACTGAACCCTAGAGGTTTAATGTCTTAGAAGTTAGACCAAATCCCAAATTCATGTTACTAGAATAGAAAATCAGACAACTTTCTTTTCCCACAAAGATTTTTATTCCCCTTACAGACATGTCTAGAAAAGAAAACTCAAGAGTCTGGACAACTTTTAAAGTTGCCATTCTGTCCAAAATTAACGGAGTAAGATAATACTCAATGCACCCCTGATTTTCAGTTGGCCAGCAGAGAGGCTTAGCTATCTAGTTATGTTAAAAACTGCCCCAATATTAAACCCACTTAGAACTTGTGCCTGAAGACACTGTATCTCCCAATTTCAGGCTCTTAGAAATAAATATGCAATTGAGTTTATAAACCCAAAAAACCCACTCATACAAAATAAGTATTGTCCTGTCACAGTCACTAATATTTCTAAATATATAATTGTAATTTTATAAAACCAAGTATCCTATTACACATCTAACCCAATTAGATATCTAACAAGCAAATATACTAATTAAAATATTTCCAACCAAAGACAGTATTATTTAAAGACCTCTAAGTCTATGTAATCAAATAGGCAACAAATTCATTTAGGAAATGTAATTTTAAAATGAAGCAATGAGCTTGTATACTAAAATCCTATCACCTAGTTCAAATTTTTCTTTTTAAGTACATGCTGTCAAAACAATACACCTTTTAAGCATACCAGTAGCTATACGAAGTTAAGTTAGACTAGTGGTATCTTTTTATGTTAATCTCCATTATTAATACTTTAAATACAATCTCTATGCTGTCATTCTCCCATTGTAAATCTGAAGCTTTTAGTGCAATATTTTGAGCAATGAAATTTTAATGAAAGCTACCAATTTGGTAAAGAAAAAAAATCCTCAATAAAACAGAAAAAAACAACTTTGCAAATATGTAATCAAAGGTACACTGATCAATGTGAACACAGAACAACTACGAGGTCTTGTGCTAGGAAATCTCTTAGAAAAACTTAGACATTCTGATTGCTACTCACTATACAGAAACAGGAAAAAAGCAAAGGAAAATTATTTCGTCCATTAAGTGCAAATCCTTCGTAAATAATTTACAATAAGCAAAAGAAAGTCCTTTAAAACAGGTTTTTATAAGAATTAAACTTAATTTACTTTGTAAAATAAACATGTATTTCTCACTAATAAATCCACACATCTGATAACTTTTCTGCATACTCTTATGAAATTTCTATGACAAAATCTCATTAGTACAGACATTACCAATTTAAATTTTTTACTTGTTTGAACAATGGCAGAGTGAAAATGCTCACTTCATCTTTGTGAAATTAAGGTAAAATGAGATCACAAAGCAACAGAAATATTTAATCTATTTAAGAAAGTAAACTTTTCAAAGACTGAAGAATTATTTGCTAAGCAAAACTGATAACCTCTTAACCTACTACTTAATTAGGATCCTCACCAACAAATGATCTGGAAATGCTTGTGGGTTAGTTCACAATATAGTGCATATATGAAATATGTGTGTGTGTTTTTTAAATAAAATAATGAATACACTTAACAACCTGAAGTGTGTTTACTGTTTTCTCATTATTTCTAACCCTAAGAACTTCTTTTTTAAAACTGCAAATAATACGTTTTTGTCTTATGATTTCATTTGCAGAATATAACTTCTTCTACCTAACAAACAAAGACATGTTTATTTCTCAGGTGCTAATCCTAGAACATTGATGGAGAAGGGGAAAAAATAATTTTTCAGGTTTTTTTTAAAAACAATGGATATGACAACATTTTGGAAAGTATAAAATGCTTATATAAATATCAAGTAACTTAAAGATCAGCAACAACTGTAACTACCTAACTTTTCTGGGTGGTATATAAAACATGACTATGGACCCCTGATGGGTAAGGTAGCCAATTTATCTGAACTTCTCTATCATTGCATAGTTAGCAATTTAAGAATCACATTAGTTTTTACTCTATTATTGCTACTGGTGCCCTACTTGCCAATATTTTTTTTCTCCCCAAATTAAAGTATTCTGATTGGACAGAGGAGACCTTGACATCAAACCATACCTTGTTCACTAGGTTCTGACTGAGACTTTCTGACAGTAAGGTCCAGAGGTGAGTCTTGGTCAGCCATGAGAAGTTTGCTGAGCACAGGGTTCTGAGTAGTTGCAGCCGTGGGAGAGGTGGTGACTGGAGATGCTTTCGGCAGGCTTTGGTTCTTTGTGCTATTGGGCTGGCTGGGGTCCTGAGTAGAGCTATTTTTTGAGGTATATTCAGCAGCAAATTGTTGGATCATTCGCTGCATGATCTCACGGGCCACTAGGGGAATATTGGGGTCGGAGACCCAGGGACTGTCTGTAAACAAAGATTTATTTACTTTTAAAGTGGGACAATGTATTAAAAAAAAAAAAGACAGCTTTTAAGCAAACATAAAATTTCATTTTATTTTTTCTTAAAATGCAGTATCCTAAAATAGCATTTCCTCATAGTTATATTTTTAATCTCTAAGCTTATGAGCTGCAGATTTTAAAAAATAACATTTTCATAAAATTAGTTATAAACATCTCCCCAAGATTATGAATCAAATAAAAGGATAACAACTATTTTGGGGGCAAGAATCACTTACCTGATACAGAAATCCCCCCAACACTCCTTTTATAAAATAATTACTACCCTATTTACTACCTCTAGGTCATATCTGTTGTTCTTATCGGCAGTTTCTTCCTAAATTGCTGAAGCATGGATTACTCAGTTCATGAGTGTTTACTTTCTGTTAAGGACTGAAGGCATACCAAGATTATAAAAGGAGATACTTAATATTAAGACCAATGATAAGCTAGGGCAATAATCCTCACACTTTAATATTCATCCGAATCACTTGGAGAGCTTGTAGAATCAGGTCTGCCTGATTCTGCAGTTCTAGGGTGAGGCCAAGGCATTTCTAACAGGCTTCTCGATACTGCTGGTGGAGGGGCCACAACTTTAGAACCCTTGGGCTAGAAGTTTAAATGACAAATCTCATATTTCCTATGAGTTCTTTAAATACACTGTGCCAACCCCTAAACACAACAGCTAGGGAAGCAATAAAAGAAACATCTAAGTTATCATTTTGTAATCAATATTAATTTTTAAAAAATTCAATTTTCAGCACTGGGAAAAGACCTTGAAGGTCAAATGGGTTAAAACAAAAGGCAAAATGTTTTGCATACATATATTATCACATCTGTATCAATACGGATCATATCATCAGGGAGTCTCAGCTTCGCCAGAGATTATGTTTATTCACCACTGTATAGTCAGCACCTAATATAGCCTGCTGTTAAGTATGCATTCATATTAGTTAAGTAATAAATGGATCAATCAAATCAATTGCCATTCAATTGCTGTGTTTTTTTAACAAATGAAGGAAATGTGCTCTACAGATCAAGTGGCCTCTTCAAATTTGTATAGATGGTTAGTGGTAGACCCTGGATTAAACCTCTCCCCCTGCCCAGCTAGTGTGGCTCAGTGGTTGAGCATTGACCCATGAGCCAAGAGGTCACTGGTTCAATTCCTAGTCAGGGCACATGCCCAGGTTGCGAGCTGGATCCTTGGTAGGGGGTGCAGGAGGCAACCAATTGATGTTTCCATCTCTCTATCCCTCTCCCTTCCTCTCTCTAAAAAAATAAAAAATAAATCAATAAAAACATATTTAAAGAGGGGCAATCTGGCTCCTGAGGCCACCACAGTACACTGCCTCACCACATATTTACCAAAAAAAAACCAAAAAACAAAAAAACCACACACAAAAAAAACCTCTCCCCCTGATCTTAATGTTCCAACCATGATCTTTACTTCTCCACGATACTTCTGAGGTTTTAGAAGATGGAGAACCTAAGTTTCCTTGGTCTTTTAAAGATTAACTATAGAAGATAAATTACGTTACCCAGGAGCTGTGAGGAACTTAGGTTGATTTACAAATTTAGAAAAAACTGACTCATAACTAAAATCTAATGTTATCACAAAACACACACACACACACACACACACACACCTCAAAACCTCACAGGACTCCTAAAAACAGACAATTCTTTTTCCTGAAGGACAATATTCAATACCAGAGAATGATTTAAAGTCAGAATATTTATTTAATTCTCTGGAGTTTAACAAGGTTTTTGTTCTACCAACAACAACATTTCTATTCTACTAAAAAGTATTTTCCACCCTAAGTTTCCTCTCTATAAATAAAAACTCTGAGTATGCCAGAGAGTATAGAAATAAAGATACTCAAGTTAGGTAAGATTCAGAAGTGTTTTTTAAAAACATTTTTATTGATTTCAGAGAGGAAGAGAGAGGGAGAGAGATTGAAACATCAATCCTTGATCGGCTGCCTCCTGCACGCCCCCTACTGGGAATCAAGCCTGCAACCCAGGCATGTGCCCTTGACTGGAATCGAACCCAGGACCCTTCAGTCCGCAGGCCAACACTCTATTCACTGAGCCAAACTAGCTAAGGCGGTAAGATTCAGAAGTTAATATAATCACTTAAAATGGTTCCTTAAATGTTTTTAATAAACATTTTAGCTATACATTGCTTTAAAAATCTCTCTACCGAATGGGTTTTCTTATTAATATTCATTAAACTTTCCACTTAAGATCCATTTTTTTCACGTAGCATACAATCCTCTAAATACAAGAATACACACACACACACACACACACACACACTGTAATTTCAAGTTTTAATGTATTAGTGTATATTTTCCCCCTGAAAAGTTGGAGAATATGTAATACATAAAGAAGTTTCCAAACAGGAAGCAAAATGAAGTAATTTATGAAATGTCTCTGTGTTTAACTAGATTAATAAATGTAATTAAAGATTCACAGGAGTCAAAGGTTTTAGGAAAATAACACAAATTGCTACCTTTGAGCTTTAAATGGCTGCAGCATATTTTACCTTTTTGTTGCATGAATAACAATCACAAACCACAATTCATGTTTATGAATTGATGACATCTCTGCACTTGAATTTCTGTCTTTTGAAAGCTTCCTCAACACTTTTCATTCCTTCACTTTCTTAAAATATATCTATAAACCGAGTCATGTCTCAGGGAATATGCACAATTGAGTCAAATAAAAAACAGCAAATCAGATCAAAATTAAAACTACAGAAAAACATGTAAATGCTGCCTCACAGCCATCTGCATATTTCAAAAATGGAAATCTAACATTTAGACAAGTATCATATTTCCTTAACACAAGTGACAAAACACGCTGAAAAGAAATATGATCATGACAATTGCAGAAGGTATACTGTCCTTAAATTGGAATTTATTATAAAATCCATACCACAAAAGCCTACTTTTATTGCATTAATGTTTCTATTTAGTGATATAATTTTTACATACTCAATTATTTATAACATACAATTTGCAATAGTTGGAAACAAAGGACTAAATCCAAATATCTGAAGTAGTTACTAAAAACAAAATAATCACTTCAGACTAAATTGCCTGTCATATCTCTGGATAATAAACATTTTAGATATTAATTTGAAGACTATTAATACTCATCTTTGAGATGTTTCCAAGATGATTAATAAAATATCTAAAAATAACAATATTAATAAATAAAGCAAGGTAGAAGGAACTTCCAATTGCAAAGCAATAGTTCTTTTTCTGAGCATCATATTCCAGTATACAAAAATATACAAACTTAACTTTACATACAAATTTAAGGAATTCTCATCTCTTGAAGTTTATTCTAAGACTGATTTCAAGTTAACAATTCCTCCCCTAAAGGTTATGTTCTCAAAAGTTTAATTTCTAAATAAAATTTTATGAACTTCAATGTAAATTATTTCTGCATGACCAAAAATGGGACTAGTAGAAAAGTAAGCTAACTCCCTCCAAGCTACGAGTGAATGAAAAGTGGTTGCTCCATGTACATCAGGTAGAGTTCCTCTTTTCAGATAATGACATTTGCTGTAGCATTAGACCCATGATTTAGTACATAGCAGAGGAGCTGTCAAGATATTTTATTTTGTTAATAAACTGATAGACCTATTAGTCATTTACACTTTAAATGTGAATTACTAGAACTATTTGTCATTTATACTTTAAATGTGAGTTATTTTAGTAAAACAATCAAATGTTCATAAAACGAAATAACAATATTACTGTTTTGAACGTAATTTTGGAATTCTGGGTACTTTATTGAGACAATAAGGTGAGTCCAAAAGCTTCAGTTGGGAGCTTTAGTCAGAAAGTGCAAGAAGGTATTATTTAAAAGAGAAGAGAGGATGTACAAAAGATTTAATTTTGTCTAGGGAACTGATAGAAGAATTTTTTTTTAAATGCCATTGAAAACAATAATCTTGTGAATTCCTTTTTCTTTCTTTTGCATTCCTTAATTTTCTACTACACTTCACCTCATACACCCTTTTGAAAATACTAATTACATTATGCAGAAGCCCAGTTGGTCTCCAAATGTAACCAACCCATTAGAATCAGCACTTATCAGACTTTTATCCAGTGTACAGGCAAACACCAGCTTTTAAACTTAAAAGGGAAGAAAGAAATTTCCAGAGGAATGACAGGTGTAAACTAGAACACTGAAGAAATATTAAAGAAAATGGAATCGTTGTGTCTGCTGAAGATTAAAAATCTATTTAGAAAGAATATCTTAAGGTAAAGACTCTTCACTAATATGGCTCATGAATGGAAACTTCCTGAAGGTCTTGGCTGGTAGCAATTATTCTTTGAGGATAGAGAAATGTAAAACAAGCCTACAAAAGTTTCAAGGAGAAAGATAAATTGAAAAATACAAGAGGTGAAGCTACTAAATGCCACCTCAAATGTATGGGGGAAAGTTTTATTTTATAATAATAAATTTCTTTTTCTAATTTTAGTAACTTAAAAAAACTAGTGAAATAAGACTACATCAAGGAGAAAAACTGCTTGCAAATCTAATTTTAAGACATAACTTTACATTTTTCTCTGCAAACAATAGTTTAGTGAGAAATTACTAGAAATTTAGTTAGTTTTATGGTTATCAGTGATAAAAACAGTAACTGTTTATGTAAGAAAATCTGACTAACAATATATAGAACTACTGAAACCTTGCAACTTTCAGACTTTCACAATAATTTTAAGAATTATTTAACTAAAACCTATCACTTCAGAGTAAAAGGAGGGAGTGGGGTTGCCTTACCCTATTTCAAATTTAACTTGACTGAAGAAACATGGAGAATTATAAAGTGTATTATCAATAAAGAAAAATACTTTTTAAAGTAACTCTTTAAAAATGACATTGAAATTAAGAAGGTTAATACAAGACAAGCAGATGCTAAATGTCATTCTTTATTGGAACCAACCTTTTCTATAAAAGACTGCATTGAGGAACTCTTCTGCTTGTTTCTCGAATCGAATGATTTTTGCTTGCTCTTGTTTAAGCAGAGCTTCCCGCCCAGCTCCTGAAGCTGGTTCATCCAGACCGACTAAGTGTCCCTGCAAAAAATTTGGTGACATATTTGCACAAGTATCTATCTCCATTCAATATCAAAAGCATAGATGTTAAAAAAAAGGAACATTAACAACAGATAAGACAAATTAGCTTAATACAATTAAAATATTTTAAAACTTCAAATCAGGATAAAATTTATCTCCACAAAAGTATAAAAGCAAAGTGAATATGAAAATATACTTTGGCCCTGGCTGGTCTGGCTCAGTGGTTGGAGCTTCATCCTGTGCACAAAAGGGCTGTGGGTTTGAATTCCACTCAAGGGCATATACCTGGGTTGCAGGTTCAATCCCCAGCCCTGATCAGAGCACGTAGGGGAAACAACCAATCAATGTGTCTCTCTCACATAGATGACTCTCTATATTTTTCTTCCTTCCTCCCTTCCTTCCACTTTCTCTAAAAATCAATGGGAAAAATACCCTCAGGTGAGGATGAACAAAACTTCTCTCTCTCTCTCTGGCTTTTAATCCAAGTTTTTTTTTTTTAAATTATGAGTTTTGTTTAAAACTCACAAATAAACTCTAATTAATCTATAATTATTAAAGGGAAATTTTTTGAGCATTCTATATAACGGTTCTTGGGCATCTTTTCATGTGTGTATTGGCCATGTATACTACAGCAATAGTTCAGACAACTCAACTCAGTAAAAAAAAAAAATCTTAAAACTCCAAGTCTCATCTGTGAATCACATCTGCCTTCCTAGTACAAGATCTGTTTTCTCCAGACACAAAACAAAAATTTGTAAAGGGCCATTTGGAGGTAAAACTCAAGAAGGATGTATTTGAATTCACAATTCTGTCCCTAGAATACTATTTTACAAACTGAAGCTTTCAAATCTTTAATGGGTTGTGAAATTAACAGGTCAAAACTCACACTAGAAAAAATAATTCAAAAACAGAGTGCATCACATGCTTTAAGGGGAAACATTTCAGTATCTTAAGGGGAAACACTTCAGTATCATATGTCATCCCACAGACTGTCAAAACCTGCTCTCAGACTGCAGGAGTATTGAACTTGATTAACAACACTTTGCACTTCCACCCTTGTAGCTAATAAATAAAGAGGAACCTATGATAATAGAAAAAAGATTATAAGGAAAAGCAAAGTACATCTTTTAAGTGTTCTTAGAAACAACTATTTTGTTTTTAAACACCAGTGTTTAAAATACCAGTGCATGTAACTTACTTCAAGTTACTACAATGAATCAACACATGCATTTAGTTATATAATGGAAAATTTTAAAGTGCTCTAAAGAAGAAGATGGGGAAATACCTTGGCACAATGTCAAACAAGACACTAAAGGCATGTTATAATTCACAAATGATTTCCTCAAAGATTTTAAATACATTTAGTGATATTTGCAACCATCACCCAAATTGTGTCAACAGTGCAATAAAAATACGTATTTTTCAAAGATACATTTAGCATCAATTACAAATCATAAACAAACTAGAGGCCCTGTGCATGAAATTCGTGCATGGGTAGGGTCCATAGGCCTGGCCAGCGATCAGGGCCAATCTGTGGGGAGACTGTGGGGTGATCAGGGGGCCCCCTGCTGGCACCCACCTTGGCCAGCCTGGTGCCACCTGCTCGCCGGCCCCCGCTGGTACCCGCCTTGGCTGGCCTGGGGGCCTGCGGGCAGCTCCCGCATTGTCTGCCCCCTGGTGGTCAGTGCGCGTCATAGCTACCGGTTGTTCCACCATTGGGTCGATTTGCATATTGGGCTTTTATTATATAGGATAGTTTAATATGAAGAACTCTCTTGCATACTCAAACTTAAACAATGGTGACTTAACATTTCCATTAAAGACATGCTAAGTTTGCCACATTGTTTAAAACTTTTTAAACAAAATATTTTAAGTATTATAAATCATTACAAAAACCTTTATTATAGTTGCACTTCCCAACATTCTCTCTCATGGACTAAAAAATTATTAAGAAACTGAATTTTAGCCGAAACCGGTTTGGCTCAGTGGATAGAGCGTCGGCCTGCGGACTCAAGGGTCCCGGGTTCGATTCCGGTCAAGGGCATGTACCTGGGTTGCGGGCACATCCCCAGTGGGAGATGTGCAGGAGGCAGCTGATCGATGTTTCTCTCTCATCGATGTTTCTAACTCTCTATCCCTCTCCCTTCCTCTCTGTAAAAAAAATCAATAAAATATATTAAAAAAAAAAAGAAACTGAATTTTAAAAGTGAATCACAAATAATTTAATTTTGATATAGATTTAACATCTAAAATGTATTAGGAACAGGTAGATATATATACCTTGGAAATACTTCAGGTTTGGTTCCACACCACCACAATAAAGTAAGTCGTAATCTTTTTGTTGGTGGAGGGCCATGACTTCAATTTGTAAAAAAAACACAACATCCATAAACCATAATAAAGCAAAGTGCAATACAACAAGGTATGTCTGTATTAATTAAACAGTCCAACAAAATCCTCAACTATTGATGCCATTTAATTTAGAGATTTTTTAAAAACAGACATTAAATGGCATAAACTGGACTTAAACTTAACTCCGTAGCCCTACAGTCAGTCAATTCAGTCAGACCTTGAACAAAATATCTATCCTTAAACTATGTTTCATATAGCATTCTATGTTTAGATTAGAAAGCTACTTTCTAATCTAAATCAACACAGAGCAACTAACTAAGCATTCAGTAAGGCAGGTGATAAATGTTTTTTTCTTGAATCAAACAATTAACCATTTTATCAACCTGGCCTCTGAAATACACATGACTTTAAGCTGGTACATATCAATTATGGTCACATGTATTTTTTTTTGTTTTTAAACAGTTTTATTGAGATATAATACATACACTATACTATTTACCCATTTAAAGGGTAAAATTAAATAGATTTCATATAACTGAAATCATACACTATTTGTGGGGTTTTTTGGGGCAAATGACTTTTCTTCTAGAATAATGTTTTAAAGATCATCCAAGTTGTGGCATGTAGTATTTACTTCCTTTTTATTCCTAAATAATATTCCACTGTATGATATACCACATTGTATCCATTCACCAGTTGATGAACATTTGGGTTGTTTCTACTTTTTGGCTACTATGAATAATGCTGCTTTTAATATGTGTAAATTTTTGTGTGGATGTATATTTTTATTTCTCTTGGATTTATATACTTAGGAGTGGAATTTCTGGATTGTATGTTAACTATGTTTACCATTTTGAGGAAGTGCCAAACCATTATCCAAAGCAGCTACTCCATTTTATATTCCCCACAGCAATAATAGGAATTCCATTTCTCCACATACTCATGAACACTTGTTCTCTTTTTTATTACACCATCCTAGTAGATGAGAAGTTGTAGCTCATGGTTTACATTTGCATTCCTGTAAGGACTAGGGTAATTGAGCATCTTTTCATGTGTTTATTGGCCATGTAAATATACCTTCTTTACAGAAATGTCTATTCATAAGCTTTGCCCAGTTTTTAATTGGGCTATTTACCTTTTTATTTTTGAGCTGTAAGAATTCTTGACATGTTCTGTATACAACTCTACTATCAGATATATGACTTGAAATATTTTCTCCCATCTGTGAGCTATCATTTCACTGATGCTACTGTTGGCAATACAAGGTTTTTTAATTTTAATGAATTATAATTTATTATACTCTTTTAACATTTGTGCTTTTGGTATTGTATCTGAAAAACTAGTGGCTAATCCAAGGTCATGTAGATTTTACTCTTATGTTTTTTTCTAAAAGTTTTATAGTTTTAGGACTTTTAGGTCTATGATCAATTGAGTACATTTTTTGTATAGGGTATAAGAAGGGTCCAACTTCCTTTGTGAAAAACCACTGGCCATAATTTTATTGTTTAACAATAATTTTCACCAAATGATTGTTTAGCTTGTTTTCTATCCAGAATAACCGAAGATAAAATATATAACACAAAGTCATATACCTTCTTCAATTGAATCTGTTCCCCATGTTAAAATTTTATAGCAAAAGCCCAGCTGGTTGAATCCATCCCATGCACCAAGAGGTCGCCAGTTTGATTCCTGGTCAGGGGACATGGCCAAGGATTTCGGGCTCAATCCCTATTAGGGATCATGTAGGAGGCAGCTGACCAATGTTTCTCTCTCATCGATGTTTCTCTCTCTCTCTCCCTCTCCCTTCTTCTCTCTCTAAAAATCAGTAAGAACATATTTTTTAAAACAGTTATAGCAATGATATATAGGATTCTTTCCATCATGAAATGCTTTTATTTTATTTCCTTTATTTTCTAACTGCTAGGGCTGGCATAAATGGAGAGAATGTGTGTAAAACTTAATTTTGCATACAGCTTTTAAGGAAAAGTGTAGATCATCTTTCTTCATTTGCTATGTTCTCTGGTAACGTCACTAATTTTTGTCAATTTTCCAATATCATTTTAAGGACATTTCTTTTAAGGGAACTGTGAAGGTAGCAGAAAGGAGAGGTAAAGAGAAATGCAGAAGTCTTTAACACTTTGTGGTCTGATGATCCATCACCCAAAGGAGGAAAGGAGATATAGTACTAAATGGGTTAGAAAAGACCTCAATTCTTTACTAAGCTTTTGGTTATCTCTACCTATATATACTCCATATAATATACTCTTTTATCATCATTTATGACCATTTTGAGATTGACAATAAAACAAATATCCAAAAGATGTCTTCAAATAAAGAGTTCATACTTTTCTCTACAACTTAAAGTAGCTACCTTTAGTACTAGAAATACTAAAGGAAATTATTCAGGTTGAAGAGGAATGACACTACTAAACACTGCTAAGCAATCTTAAAGAAGACATACATAATGATGAGATAAACCATAACCAGAAATTGGAAGACTCAATATTGTTAATGTAGCCATTCTCTCTAAAATGATCTATTGATTCAAGCAAACCTAATCAAAATTCTAAAAGTCTTTTTGAAGAATTGACAAATTGATTTAAAAATTTAAAAGAAAGGTCAAGGACCTAGATTAGCAAAACAAGTTT